AGATTTGTAGCAAAGATCTTGACAATGACCCTATGGCAGTAAAGAATTAGAGATTAGGCAAAATATTTCTTCCAATGTTGCCTGGATCTTCTGCTAATATTTTTTTATCAGACACTTAAAACATTTCCCCCTCTTGTAGGTTTCGAAGTGCCATTCTTGCACTAATCCAATGTCAAGTACAACAAGAGGTAACAATCAACATCTTGCCAATGCATTTATCTCAAAGTACAATTGCATAAAGATACAGCATTAAAGCCTATCCACTCATCATGTGTTTTGCCTCGCAAAGAAAGTTAGAACTACTTCACATGTAACTATGTACTGATGTATAATAACTTTGTCGTCTGCTGATTCTATTTGACTTTATGGTTACAATGTGATACTAGAATGATGCATACACCATGTCTTTTGTTTCATATGAGACTCAAGGTTCCTGGAATCCAATTCTCTGCTTTACTGTACTTGCATAATGGTTCTTTGGATTATACTATGACTATATATACTAAAACCAATTCTACATTAGGGTGATTAGTATAGTTGAATAATTAATACATGAGTATTTTTTTCAATAGTCACTATTCAATTTTGAAATTTAAACTGCTTCAGTGAGAAATCCACTAAAAAGTGTAATAACGTTTTCTCTTTCTATTGCTAAAAACATTCAATGACCCTGGGGGGGGGGGAAACATTTATTATACCTTCTGTTACTAATTTTTGTTTTTTGCAAAGTTATTGTTGCCAAACATATTAACCTCTATTAAAAGAAATGTTTCAAATAAAGCAATTGTTGGAGAACTAAGCAAATATTTGCTTTAGAAATGAATAAACGGTTTAAGTTTCTGTCAATAGGTTACTCAGATTTGTTAAGTTGATCATTTGTAGCATCGGCTACTTAAAAAAAATTGCTTTTCTGTACATTTTGACCAGTATCTTTAAATTACCGATCTGCAGTTGTTGTTTAAAAAGTAATAATGTAATTTTGAAACAACATATAGTAAATAATAAAGCAATTTGGAGATCCAAAGACTTCCACTTCAAGCCTTTCCTGCATTATAGTCATCTTAGCACAGTGTAGTTATTCAAACAATAGAACTGAGTTTTTAGAGAAATAATTATACTCACTATGTCGGTGTTAATTTTAAATTGCACTTGCAATTTTTAAAAAAATTGTAGTACCTAACTTCTTTTTTCTAGTAGTCTTGCTTTCAAGATGGATATAATCTTACTGATAATGCATTCCTTATTTGACACAGTAAAGAACTAGTGGTGTCAAATGAGCATTTGCAGAGAACCTTTGAAGGTTAAGTAATTGCAGATCTCAGATAATCCAGGGTAATCTCCTCTGACTAAATGGAAGCTACATGCACAAGCTTGGAACCCAGGATGATTGTCTAGGAGTAAAAGATCTTCGATTTTGGATTTACCTATTGTCTTGGAAAGAAACCATGCATCTGTTTGCTGCTGTTTGTATCATGATGACCATTTTGGAAGGAGTGGATAGTTTCTGCCCTTCTCAGTGCAGCTGCATTTACCATGGCATGAGTGATGGAACCAGAACAAGGTATTTGTTTTCTTGACTTTTCAAGTAGGTTTTATATTTGTAAGATTCCTATCTTTAGTGAATAACAACAAAAACATGTTAATAAAATTTTAAGGAGAGATTTGTATTTTTGGAAGACTGTTTTAAAATCTGGTGTAATCATGGATTGGCTTACTAGCCACACATATCCCATCAGATTGGATGATAAGCAGAAATAGTGGGCTAGAGGTACATATAAGTATACATATGCACACAAACACACAAACACACACACACAGAGGGGGGATTGAAATTCTGACCAAATTGGGCATAGTACTTATGCTGTGCTTAGCATCTATTTATGGCAATGTACCCAGTTCATGAAAAGTGAGATTCCTTATCTAGTCTGTACATTTAAAGTTTTAGTGAAACCGTGTTACCTAGATGTAAAAAAATACCCTTCCATTATACTATACGTAAAAATATTGTGTAAAAGGATACATTTTTTGCTCTACTGTCTTATGAAAAATTGTTTTATTTTCTTTCATAGAGAGAAGTAAGCATACTGGCTACCCAATGTCATCCAAACAAGGTGAAGGTTTCAATGCTGTATCTGCATTATGTGGAAACCTTTTCTTGATTAAAAAAAATAGGATAATATACAAAATGATTCCAAGTGAATAGGACAATAATTATAAACCTTATTAATTCCTTCACATGCCCAATATAAAGCAAGTTTCTTCATAGTACTGGTGCTATATGCTCATGTAATTTAAAATAAAAATAAGTTTTGGCATATGCTATATTTAAAGTAATTTAATGAAGGAACCTCCTTTATAAAACAACAACAAAAGTATTTTACAAAAATGTCATGTTTTCTGTCTGATAGAAGAGATTTTACCTATTTACAGGATTGTAATCATAAAATGTGCCGAGAAAGGGAAAGATATCTAAATGCCATCCTGTGTTCTTTGAAGAAGAGTTTAGGATTAATTAAATGTAATAATATCTGGGTGAAGTATATTTGAAGCCTGCTTTAATTTGGGGATTGTCCTTTATTCTGTCACTTCTTTGTTCAGGCTGTCATATCTTATTTCACTATGCTTAATCCTGAAGTAGTACAATTCTTATATGTGCATTTATTTTCTTAATAATTTAAAGCCCCAGTTATTAACCATAAATTTCATATAAATTATAGATGGGTGCATGAAAGGTGTTTGATACTGATGATTCTTTATTCCTGCTACCAAAAAGAAGCAGCGCTTTTAAAATTATCGTATTATAGAACAAAATTCAGTAGACAAACCAGTTGCTTTCCATGACTATATATAACTTCTTTGGACAGGGACGGAAGTGTCTTCTGTCTTCTGTATATACTTTCTCACCATTCCCCATCATTTGAAAGAAGATTTATCCAAAAGAGCCATAGTGAACACAGCTGGATTGATTTGTCAGTAGGACCACAGTTTTTTTTTTAATGCATTGTGAAAACCTATATAACCTTAGCAGCCTCTCTTTGTTTGTTGCTAGGTCTGTGCTTTGTAATGACCCTGATATGTTTGAAATCCCTATCAATATTCCTGTGGACTCTGTAAAACTCCGGATAGAAAAGACAGTTATAAGAAAAATTCCAGCAGATGCTTTTTATTACCTGGTGGACCTCAAATATCTATGGCTTACATACAATTCTATCATCAACATTGATAGCAGAAGCTTTTATAACTTAAAGCAGCTACACGAATTGCGTCTGGATGGCAACTTGTTGTTGCGTTTCCCTTGGGAGTCTTTGGCTGAGATGCCCAATCTACGAACTCTGGATTTACACAATAACAAAATGACCAGTATTCCAGTTGAGGCTGGCAGATATCTAAGAAATCTCACTTACTTAGATATATCTAGCAACAAATTAACCTCCTTGCCCTCAGACCTCATGGATATCTGGCTTCCTTTTTCTGAAACAGCAATACCCAGAAATACAGATACTCTGGTCCACAGAACCGTATTAGGTAAGCATGAACAATTTGATTTTTTTCTTTGAATTGTGTCTTCTGAAAGGATTCAGAATTAGTTCATAGTATGAACTCAAATATTGTGATCAATCAGCTTCACAGTAGCTGATCAACTATTGTTCTCATCTGAGCTTTTTTTCTCATAGAACGCCCAAAACGGAGTTCCGGCACCTTTTTTGGATGGAACCTTGTAGGATAGGCAAGGCGGGTTGTATGACATGTGTGAGTTCCGGCACCTTTTTTTTTTTTTTTTAAGAAAAAAAGCACTGGTTCTCATACTGAACAATTGTTCTGTTGATGGCCTGGATAACCACTGGTTACAAATGAGTTTGGCATTTCATTGTTCAGTAGACATTCAATAACAAAATTAGTTAAGTCATTTTGATTATCACATTTGTTTGTTGAAAGCTTCAGCAAGTTAAGTGCAGTCTGCCATATTCCCGAGTGGAGCAGACTTTAATGTTTTCTGAATTGGTATATTCAAGACTGGACTAGTCCTCTCTGTAGACCTGTGCTATGGGATATGTTATAACAGCTGGTAAGGAATTACTGCTTAATTCAACTAGGGTAGGAAGAACATTTATTCAGCCCTAGACCAAATAAAATTTTAATTTTTAAAATTAAAAATTAATTTTGAACACATTAATTGACATCTCCTGGTATAAAATTTCCATTTTCATGCCTGCCCTCAATACAGCCAGGCATTATTCCATTTTCACTCTCTTTGCTTGGTAGTTAAGTAAGCACAAATTAATTTTATAATTGTAGAAGTATGTTTTTCTAGTTATATATATATATTGGAAAGACTTTCACAGGCATCATGGTAACAAAAAAAAAGTTCAGGATGGGGTGTTGTTTATAGTAAGCAAGAATTTTCTTTCTTAGCTCCTCAAAATGTTTCAACAATCACAACAGAAATTTAGAATAAGGCTGGCTGCTTGCAATTTAAGTTGCACAAATCTTGAATAAATATTCTAACATTCTAATATTCTAACATTAAATTTATCAGAGGGAAATAGATTTGGTCCCATAATTTGCCAAATCATTTACCTTAGGCTGGAAACTGAGAAAGGAAATCCAAATGTCTTATACCATGCTAATCTAAGTGTACATTTGCTGAAGGTGTTATGACTGGATTATTTTTCCCCATTAAGGTCTGCAGGACAATCCATGGTATTGTGACTGTCGTATTTCCAAGCTGATTGAATTTTCCAAAACTGCAGATAGTGCTCTTATACTTCTAGATCCTTTTGTGGCTTGCAATGGACCTGAAAGCTTGGCTGGGATCTTGTTTCAAAGAGCAGAATTGGAGCAGTGTTTGAAGCCATCAGTAATGACTTCAGCAACAAAAATTACCTCACCCCTAGGAAGCAACGTGCTTTTACGCTGTGATGCAACTGGATATCCCACGCCACAACTCACCTGGCTTAGATCAAACAACCTACCAGTGAACTATACAGGTATAGTATGTTTAAAAATTCACCTGCTGAAAAACACCAAGATGTGTTAAAGTGATGACTTAATGTTTGAGAGGTACAAGTTCAGTTCTTAGCTTATGAATTGAAATGGAGAAAAAGACTTCTACTTTAAATTTACTCATGGAAATAAAAATACATATTTAATCAATACTGAGTTTTAGAAATTGAAAAAACCTTAGAGAACACATTGTTTCTTTTCACTTGAGTAAAACTATTTGAAAAGAAGGCTCCACGATATTCTGATGAAAATCTACAAGCCAAGTGGGAATGTATTTTCAAACCACACAATTTTCTATTTGAAATTTTGTCAAGCATGTACATTTTTAAAAAATTGAAATAGTAGTATTAATCACCCTGCAGCATAAATACAAATACATAAACTGTATACAATTTATAAGAACATGCAATCATCCTTTAGTCTACAAGCACCTATGCAATATTGTCCAATTTGCCAGATTTTACACCACCATAACTTTGATTGAATTGGATCTTATGTGTTTGAATTGGTTTGTGAGATTAATAGTGGTACATTGTGTTCAATCTTGAGCTAAATAGGAGTTGGCTCTTATTTGCCTAGAAATTGGAAGGTGTAAATATTCTCTGTTGATTTTAACATTTTTCAATCAATGCAATTGATGTCATGACAAAAAGAATGAACTGAATGGTTGTGACAAGGCTTTTGATTGTCCCTAGAATCATAGAGCTGGAAGACAGCATAGAAATCATCTAGTCCAACTCCAGCTCAGGGAAGAATCCACTGGAGTATCTCTGATGGACCTTTCAGGACCTCTAGTTGAAGAACTCATCATATCATGTGGCAGTCCTGCTTGTTCCTAACAAGGAGGTCCTAAAGATTGAATGCTATTCTTTTAGACCTCTTCCCATGGGCTCTATCAGGATTTTGATCTTTTCTCTCTTTCTTCAATGTATATTTACATTTTCAAAATTCAATTATGTAGTATCATCTGTACTGCTGAATTGCAGCTCTATCAATTTGCTTCATAAAACTGATTTTTGGCAATAAATGATATATAAAAGAATCTTCTCTCTCTCTCTCTCTCTCTCTCTCTCTCTCTCTCTCTGTCTAGAGAGAGATATATACATATAGCTTATCAATTACAATGGCATGATGGGAAAATGAAATCTGTCATGGCACAGATGGATATGACATTCAAGCCTCCTGCCAGAAAACATTTGTTGTCTTAAAAACATGTAAATATCTGTATTTGTGGAAATTATATCCCAAATATATACATTTAGAGAAGTTCCTATATAAAATGATATGCTAAGGACAACTATTGAAGATGCTTGTACTTTTTAAGAAATAATTTATAGGAGTGCTGGACTGGATCTGGACGGATACACCTCCCTAAGTAAATACCGTTATTACCTTTTCTTCTAGCTTAATCTTGCAACATAACATCACAATTCTAAAATAGGTTTTCATGTTCAAAGAGGAGTATAATAACCTTTTTGGCTTTATCTCCAATCTGTTCTTGGAAAGAAAGAAAAAAGGAACCTCTTTCTCAGTTTACAGTGGTCCTTTCCAAATGAAGTCAGAACTTCTTGAATGGTATGCTAGATCTGCCAATGATGATCTACAATGAATTGGAGGGAAACGTATTGTTATGGACAACATATACATTAAAAGAAATAAAAGAAACAAAGCAAACAAAAGAAAGAGAGAGATTCTATCACTTGCTGCCCTCTAGATGTTTATTTGGAAGTTGGGCTTTGATTCTGAGGTCCACTGCCAGATGAAGGACAGCAGGTACATCTGGATGCACTGATAGAGCTGTGCATTTTTGGCAAAAACTGGGAAAAGGTTTTGACTTGCTAATAGTAGGTATGAATGGAATAATTTTTGACCATCCATCCATAAATAATACTTTATAAAGTATACTTTTATAAATTATAAATTATCAGGTAACCAGGAGAGGAGTTTTTTTAATAGAAGGATCTAGCTTCAATTTTAATACACAACCAAATTTCTGAGCTAAGAATTCTTTATTTCCAAGTGCGTATCTTCTTTGCTAAGCTGCATCTAGTGAATCTCCGAATTCTGATAAAAAAAAAAACAATATATCATTTGCTCACATTTGCTGTGCATTCTAGGCTTCCCTTAGGCACGAAAGCCAGCTAAGTGATCTTGGACTAGTCATGGTTACTGAGCCCAACCCATCTCACAGGCTTGTTGTTGTGGGGAAAGTAGGAGACAGGAGTATTAGATGTGATTGCTGCCTCGAATTATATCTTAAAAAGGCAAGATTAAAAAAAAATCTTGAGAAGCCAGCAAAAGCATTGAAGAAGCATTGCTATTTTTTTTAGAGAATGTGAGAGAGAATTTGACCCAATTCAATTGGGTCAAATTCATGCAAGACTGTTTAAAATGGCATATTTAACAGATTGTGTGGCTAATTGTTGTAGTCAAACTAAAAATAATGCTTCTCATTTGAAATGTTTGTCCCATAGCCTCCTAATGCCGTAGCTTCTTTGTATGATAGTCCTTGATTTCCAACCACAATTGAGCCCAAAATTTCTATTGTTAAGTGAAACATTTGTTAAGTGCATTTTACCCCATTTTACGGCCTTTCTTGCCACAGTTGTTAAATGAATCACTGCAGTTGTTAAGTTAGTAATATAGTTAAGTAAATCTGGCTTCCCCATTGACTTTGCTTGTTAGAAGTTCGCAACAGGTGATCACATGACCCCAGGACACTGCAATAGTCATAAATATGAGTCAGTTACCGAGCATCTGAATTTTGATCACATGACCATGGGAACACTAGAGTGGCCATAAGTGTGAAAAACGGTCACAAGTCACTTTTTTCAGTGCCGTTGTAACTTTGAACAGTCACTAAACAAACTGTTGTAAGTCGAGGAATACCTGTATTCAAATTCATTTATTTATAAATAATATATATCTAATTGCCATTTATATTGTATTTCTTTCTTTCCCAGTTATTCAAGAAAGTCCAGGAGAAGGTGAAAGATGGTCCATTATTAGTCTGACAGGCATTTCCTACAAAGATGCAGGAGACTACAGATGCAAGGCCAAAAATTTCGCTGGAATGTCAGAAGCTTCTGTTACTCTCACTGTTATTGGTGTTGTTACCACAACAGTACCTTCCCCAAAGTATGGCAAGAAGACAGGAACAGATCAAGCAATTACAACCCAAGAAGATATCAAACCAGAATTTTTCAATGTGACGCTTTCTTCTTCTACAATAGCATCTACAACCACCTCTCCTTCTACAGCTATGGCTACCACTGAAAAATTAACAACTAAAAGAGGAACTGACACAAAACAACCCGAGCCCATGCCCAATGACAAAAAGAATGGGAACACAGTTGCTAATGGAAGGAAAAAGCAATTGGATGCATCACTCAGTGTAGAGCCAGCAGATGAACAAAATGTTACTCTAAAAAACCTAAGAGTAATTCCTGAAACCAGTGAAAAAGTGACCTTAATGTGGAAAAATATTGATGGCTCTAATAGCTCTGCTTTGACTGTGCTGTATTCCAAGTATGGGGAAAAAGAGAAGGTGTCACTAAATCCAGATCCCACAAAAAACAAAGTGACAATAGATGGTTTGGAGCCCAGCACAAAGTATATGGCCTGCGTATGCCCCACAGAGATGCTTCCCACCAAAGACCAATGCATCATTTTCTCCACTGATGGAATTAATATGGAAGACAAATATCCTATTTCTATTTTGCTAGTAGCTAGTGGGATAGCCTGTGTAATAGCAATACCACTCATTTTTTTCTTACTATATAAAGTTGTGATGCTTCATAGGAAACCAACATTGATCAAGGAAGATGAACTTGCAAAAGAGACTTATATCAAATTTGAAACTCTTTCTTTTAGACCACATTCCATGGGAGCAAATGTGGAGATCTGGACTCACCGAAACACTGATGAATCTGAAAGACAACTACTTTGTTCCAGGTCAAGTATGGATTCGCAGATGACCTTCAAAAGTGAAGGTTCTAGATCAGAGTACTTCTACTAACTCTGGGTTCTGTAGATTAGATAATCTACAGAACCCAGAGTCAGCGGAAGTACTCTGATCTAGAACTTTCAATTTAGATAGAAGCAAAAGAAGCTGAAACCCAATACTGGATCAATGCCAATTACAAATCATGGATGACAAATACTGTAAATGATAGAAATCAAAGTCTTATGTGGTGAGGAAGGGAAAATGCTTCTGGAAAAACATTTAATGACACTTGATTATTTCTGAAGCACTTATCAATGTATAGTTTCTACTTGATTAACACTTCATTTGTTGTTTAAAAAGATTTATGTAAAATATGTATTTTTTCCTTCCATGTTGCTCTCCACATTTCTTTCAGTTATATACTGCTGCAGTTCAGTGCAAAGTACTTATCAATATTTTGTTTAATTAACTCAAAACTCCCAGTCTGTTATGCATGAGTGGAAAGACACAATGGGGCACAACCCAGAATAAGCCATTTCAATTAAATTGATGAATTAGTTCCATTTTGTATTGTGGTCAAGAGGTTGTATGATTAAAAATATGAGATTCAATTTGGGGAATGCACATAAATATTTATAATGTCAAGGTGTAATGCAGTTAATCAGCACTAAAGTTACAGACATGCAGCTAACCAAAGTAAGTCAGTAACTATACCTGAAATAAGTCACACCTAAATTCCACTCAGATCACTTATTTGATAACTTGGACCTGCTTTGCAATTCCATATGATAGATTTTTCAGAAGAAACATGTGAAAAATGCATTTCCTCAACCTGTGTTATGAGTTTAAACTAATGATGAATATGCATAAGTAAGAATTGCAACAAAAGAACTAACCTTATTATATATAGATAAGCTAGAGGAACCTATTTTGGACTTATCCATTAAGATTAGAAGAGAATATTAAGAAAGATTAGAGTTTGAAAGATTAGAGCAAGTAGTATCTTTTTTCAAAGAATTTAGGGCATAGTAAAATGGTTCTTCCCCAGTATTTTGCCTTAGTATCTATCTGGTATTCAGTGATATATTGCTGTTGATTATAATATTTTCATTTTAGCTATTCTAAGTAATAGTGGTTAATGCATCAGTTCTTGAGGAATGTGAATGAACTGATTAGTCCCTTTTTAAATAACTAGTAACATTATTGGCCTTTGTTATGATCAAGAGGCTGTGGTGGCTCAGTGGTTAAAGACGCTGTCCAGTTCAAGACCTGAGTGCCGCATGACGGGATGAGATCTCGTTACTTGTCCCAGCTCCTGCCCAGCTAGCAGTTTGAAAGCATGCAAACGCAAGTAGATAAACAGATACCACTTTGCTGTGAAGGTAACAGTATTCCATGCGCACCGGCATATGGTCATGCTGGTCACATGACCATAGAAATGTCTGTGGGCAACACTGGTTCCCTCAGCTAAAAAATGGAGATGAGGGCACTGCCTCCTAGAGTCGGAAATGACTGGATGAGGGAAACCTTTACCTTATTATGGTCAATGGCCAAATTTATACATGTTTACATTAGAAAGGTTACAGATTTCGAATTTCAGGAAGTAATGAAAACTGAAATAAAATAGGGTGAAAAAAGTAGAATACTAGAAGAATTCAAACACTTAAAAAGAGCTAAAATTACAGAACTGCCATATTCTGGTTTCTCCTAAGAATGTATTAAGTCACCTGTCTTTTAATAAGAAAAATATTAAGTTAGCTTTTTGGAGCTCAGTAGAAGACTTAATACCTTTTATTTCTGATGTACTCAGAATATATCACATGTAAACAAGCAGCAATATCCATGCTTAAGAAAAATGTATCGGCATATGTTTATGCATGAAAATCTATGTACATGCATAACATAACCATGACTTCCCAGTTCATTTGGAAGGAATGCATTAGGACCATCAAAGTATTTAAATAAATGTGATAGTTTGAGCAAAGCAATTGTCTTCAAAGAAGGAGCCATGTCCTTTAGAAGTCTCATGTGCTTGCTGCAAACTGATACAGTTGCTTCATTTCATAGGCCCTAGCACAGTGGTTCTCAACCTTTTTAATGCCGCAACCCCAACCGGTCGTAAGTCAAAGACTAAACCGGTCGTAAGTCGAGGACTAAACCGGTTGTAAGTCGAGGACTATCCAACCGGTCGTAAGTCGAGGACTTTCCCTGCCCGGGAGCGCCGTGCATGCGTGGTTCCACCCCCTGCGCAGGCCGAGGCGTAGCTGGCAAGCGGCAGAGACGGAGCAGGCTGACCACCAGCTGGCCCAGCCCAAGGGAGGTAAGGCACCTGCCGGAAAAGGGGGGAAAAATGGCAGACAAAAAAAATGGCAGACAGCCTTGCTTGGCGACCCCCATGAAATGGTCGATCGACCCCAAATGGGGTCCCGACCCACAGATTGAGAACCACTGTCCTAGCAGAAATGTTTTTAATGCATAGATATGAAGGAATGAGCTGTGAAGCAGCTTACAGGATCCCTCCAAAGGACATGGATCTGACATTTCAGTGGATCTCCTATTTGGGTCAATGCATATGCTTGTCTCAATTTGTATCGGTCCAGATGATCATTCAATTCTTTGGGATTCAGTCTTATTTCTAATGTAGTTTAGTACAGCTATCTAATGTTGATGGAGCACATCAACATATGGGGCACACTAGCTTGAGAAAGACCATCTTAAGTCACTGTTGAAAAAGGCCAGTTCTAAGCACCCAAGATCTGAAGATTGCTATATGCTTTTTATTTTTTTTCCTGCATTATCAATATGAATAAATAATTGCAAATAACAGAGGCATTCAATATTTTCATAATCATGTTCGGATAACACAAGAGAAACTGAAGAATATTGGAGGTTGAAACTGAGACCATGGATTCTTCGGAATAGAACCTGTATGCGTTCCTCATATTTCCTCTCATGTTTTATTTGAACACTTACTGAAGAAGAGTTTTGACCATTTTTGTTTAACCAGGGAAGTTTACGATGGAACTAGGTTTGGAACTGCTGTTGTGTTTCCCTATGGCTGACAAAAGATAGCTAGATAAAACTTTGAGAAGATCCTATCTAGTGTAAAAAAAAAAAAGAGGGAGAGGGAGGGAACAATATGCCAATTTCTATAATCTAAGACTGGATTTTTCCTTTTGGTGAAACAAATTTATTCAGTAATAAAAAGTCAAGTGACAACATATGCCTTTGATCAAGGGAGCCCTTTTGTTCTAATCTTAAAAGTTACTTTCGTACCTTGTTGTTTCTCACTTAAAAATTGGAATTTTACTACAGGGACTGTAGTAAAGGAGATTCAAGGAGATTAACTTTTAGATTTCAGAAATCTTTTTATTAGCATCAACTTTCAGAGTTGGATGTTGTTGATAGCATCAAGGCCAAATGCATGTATTAGCTTAAAGTTGGTAGGTTCTGGACTGCCCTTGATTTCATAGTGGATTGATCCTGATTTATATCAGGATTTATCAGAGTAAATATGAAGGTCAAGCCATTGAAGAAGGAACCATTTTTAAAAAAAGAATAACTGGGGACCATAACTTTCTTCTAAGGCAGAATAAGTGGGCTATTATTATTTCATAGCTAGGGTACAACACCTGCTCAATCTATTTCATAATGCCAATGAAATAGAGGGTGATCAAACCCAAATCTTGAGATTTTGACTTTTCTGTGGTGCTTGCCCTTTGGAACAGTTTCTCCCACAGGATCTGGATGGCCCTGACTCTGTTAGTCTTGAAGAATGTCTTCAAAGCTTCATTCTTTTCCATTATCCCTCCCCAGGCACCAGGCAAGAATGGTGGATAAGCTTGTTTTCTGAGAGGTGGTTTATACAATTATTGACCTCCAGCTGTTTGGTGTTTATGTCCTGCTTTATGAATTTGGGGCATTTTGATGGTTGATGTATGGGTATTTTATTTACCATGTTGTTTGGGGTTTTGATATATTGATGTATGCGACCTTCAAAAAGTTGGACAGCTATGTAAATCATAGAATATCAATAAATTTCAAAATCACCCAAATATTTCTAATTTTTGAAAACATGTTTTTATTTTTGCATTTTGGTTCCCTTCCCAATTGTGCAGTTTCTTATCTGTAGCCAGCAAGAGAAGCAACAGCTGTAGATGTTTTTTGGACCCTGTAAAAATAAGAATGCCAACTTTGGGGTTATGGTTTTCATGTTGTAATTTGGTTCTCTGGGGTATGGCACAGCTGCCTCAGGAGATTTTGTTGGGTCAAACTATCTCAACATATATGATATTATTCACTACAAATTATACCTTGACGGCATGGAGATCTATTTACAATAGGTTTCTATCAAGCCAAACAGCCTATGATAATGTTTCCTCCATTGTATTTAAGGGCAGATGGCAAATTGATGTAGTACAAGGCAAGTGATACGGTACATACAGATAGTCCTCAACTCATAACAGTTCATTTAGTAATCGTTCAAAATTACAACAGCTCTGAAAAAGTGACTTATGACCATTTTTCACACTTATGACTGTTGCAGCATCCCGAGGGTCACTTGATTTACATTTGGATGCTTGACAACTGATTCAACATTTATGACCGTTGTAGTGTCCCAGAGTCATGTGATCTCCTTTTGTGATCTTCTGACAAGCAAAGTCAATGGGAAAACCAGATTCATTTAACGACCGTTACTAATTTAAGAACTGCAGTGATTCACTTAACAACTGTGGTAAGAAAAGTCATAAAATGGGGCAAAACTCATTTAACAAGTTTCTCATTTAGCAACATAAATTTTGGGATCAATTATGGTCATAAGTCAAGGACTACCTGTGCAAATGTCTCTCCATTGTAGGGACGGTATCAGGGAAGGCTGTTCCTATTATCCTTCTCATCCTGTAAGGCAATCCACCTCATTCTGCATAATAATAGGGATAAAAATAATTGCATACAATAATGACAGTACAAATCCATATTTACATAAATATACTTCTGGATAATTTTAGCTAGGCAAGTATATCCCATTATAGAGAATTTTTAGCATACATCTAGATTTGTATAAAAAGCTA